TTTTTTTTATGACTGACTTAATTTGCCTCCCTCATATATACGCACATTGCAACATCGAGATTTTGTTTTTGTTTACACGGTCTTAATTTATATTTCCACTATTGCTATCATATGAAATGGTGTTCTTAGCTGTTTTTTTTTTTTGGGGGGGGGGGGGGTTACAGGTTTCACATTTGGACTGATGTGCAATTTCACTGTTTTGCTTTTCAATTTTCCAATTCTTTAGTACATTCCAGGGTAATATTCTTCAATCTTTGTTTTCAAAGTGATATCCTTACTAATTCATTTCACACGATGGGTCAAATATCCAAATATTTCTTTCTCAAGATAAACTTTTCAACAGTTATTTTCCCATTCTTTTCGATAGATCAATTCATGTACCTTTTTACTTGCCTGTGGATAGCCTCCCACGCAAAGCAAATGTTTAAATAATTGTTTCCCTGAATTGTAAATTTTGTTCCATCCATAATGTTTACACATGAACTTGTGTCAGTCGTTAATGTTATGTTCTTTTCTACCACAATTAATTTTGTTTGGGGCGTTTACCTTTTATAGTCTTTTTCAACACGTTTTACTGTACTGTAGTAGATCAATCTTCCTCTGAATTAGACTGTTAGTCCTCGTTACGGCTTACTTCAATTACTTTGCCTCTTTTTGACTTTTGCCAACACTGTGCAAAGTCACCAATTGATGAGCACTTGTTAAAGATGTTTCTTTTCGTTAACCAAGGGGTATAACTATGGATAAATTCATATCCACAATTCCTGCATTGATTGTCTCGCAACGCGCCACGATATTCATCGCGCTGATGTGATTGGTAATTCCCCGGAAAATCCCCACAGTTCTGCGTGAAAAATATATGTCGTGCATACGTTCTCACACGTGCTGGTCGACCTCGCCCGCTTCAAGTGAATTTCGATACCTTTCTTACCAATTTGGAGGCACTTTGGCGTACTAATCACTCCGTTCAAGCATCCTACCCATAATCAAAATAGCATCAAGTTTGTTTTTAATCGGGGTCAAATAACGTTATTTATTAGACTCACAGTGTTGAATACTTGCTGTTATATTTCGGCATCAATATTAGTAAATCCACATGTTTTCCATAGTGACCGTAACCCCATTACGTTTACATTTAGGGATGTTTTTCCAAATTTTTGTATGCTCAAAAATTGTATATTTCTGACTGGATGTTCTTCTGTAATGAAAAATAGCCTCCAAGCACTTTCTTTGTTGATTCATACGTTTTTTTTCATAATTTCGTCTCAACGTCGTATATGTCGTAAATTATTTCACCGGCATAATGTATCATTAATGCTATTTTTTTATCATCATCGTCCACTGTCATTCCCTTGGATAAATTCTCTAAACGACCAATCCATTTTTCCTACCATGATCCTGAATTTGTTTGTCCGTCCCAAGATAGAAACGTGGAAAATATGGCAAGTTGTTCATTGTTTTACTTTGTAGTCTTTGTCATCAATCCATAAACTAGTAAACAATTAATATTTAAATAACCTTAAAAATACTTAATCAAATATTTTAAAATCCTCGTCACCAGATGATATGTCCAGGGGCTAGATGTTATAAGAAACACATTGACTTTAAATACGTTTATTTAGGTAGCCATATTATATGTTAACCGGAAGTACAGTACAGTGTTATCCATCATGACTAGTTTTAATGTTTAATCTTATTGCAATATAATGACAAAAACTTCAATCGCAGATTTTCTGTTTTTAATTTATTCCAATATATCTTAAAATTGGACAATACTTAACTGATTTTTTTTTCTTTTTAAAAAATATCTCTTTCTCAAAATCCGATAATTAAAAAAGATTATGAATGTTATTGTTTAATTTAATGGAAACAGCAAATTAGGTGACAAGATGTATTATCATCTAAATTGTTGGGAAGGTTGGTTGAGTAAACAAAGATGTGTCCTTCCGTTTTAACTCACATGTACACAGAGTGCCACAAGTGAGCATCCGTTCATCCGTAGTTATCCGTCGTTATCCAAAATACATGTATATTTGACTACATCGTTTTCTAAAGCATTCCGTAGATTTTAACCAATGTGAATGGTCCTGAGATTACTCTCTTCAAAAGTTATAAAAATTGTTAAAGTTTGATGCCAAATAGGTCATAGTAGCTTAAAATGAAAATTTGAAGAATCTTCTCTTCAGTCATTGTAATGGATTAGATAAATTGCTTGTACCGCATTCCTTTGATCCTCTATCAAAGAAATATAAAAGGTCAAAGGTTTCCACCTCCTTTGGTCACGTAATCACTAGACATTATTGTAGTGATCTGAAATTTGCAACTATAACTGTAACATAACTGAACTGCATGAACTCAATTCCTTACCTTAACTGACTTGAATTTAGAAGTCATTTTTCTTCTAATCTTTAATAATGAGGACATGTTGACATTTACAATAATGTACTAGCCATCTGTGTTTTACTAGAAATCAAAACACCAACCCATGTATACAGGTTATGAGCCAGATTTAATCTATAATGTTTTCCTTGTTTATCCTCAATTTTTACGATTTGCAGCTGAGTTTAACTTCTAAGGGGAATTGTCACTTTCACTCGTTAACTGTGATTATAAATTCTATTGTTATTGATTATAAATTATTTAAGTCACTGTTTGGCCAAGTAAACATATTTAATTCCCTATATTTTTTTATAGTTATCGTCCGTTTTCTTAGAATAACGTGCTTCCACTTTCAAATCGAACTTTTTCCGGTATGTTACTAGGGACAGCTGGCTACAGCTTAATTATTGACGAAATTCTGCAGCCTGGGTTTTGTGTATTTTCTTCGTCGAATAGGTATAATTGTTTAAACTGATGCCTTATCATTGTTACAAAATGTTCAATGTATATTTTTATTTTTTCACTGGTTTAAGACTCTTATTAATTTTCTGGCCGTTTTGGTAATTCAACCAATAATTTTGCTCGGACCAACCATTTTTGGTTCCAACCACAACCACTTTGCTAAGCCAACCACTTCAACCACTCTTGTTTGGTTAGGATTTATCCTGGGTATAAAGAGCCAAATTTTTGGTTGAACAGCCCAGTCCTGACTAGAACTTCAGAGGCAAAACCCCGTTTTGTTGATATACTAATTTGAGCGGAAAAATTACAAATGCCGTCTGCAGCATTACGTTCATTAAAGTAATTAAGCTTTCTTTAATGCTTCCGAGGGATCACTTTGTTCCAGATTTTATTCTTGATAAATAACGAGTTATTTATTTAGATTAAACAGTTCTGAACTATTTTTTTAGATATTTTATCTTTATAACACGTTTTATTAACATTTTACATCTTTATTAACTATTTAACTGCTTGTTGAAGATAGTCACGGTACATTGGTACGCCTTTTCTCCATGTTAAAGGATTAACACGAATTTACAGTATTTATATTTATCCCGTTAGTTATTTCGGCCCGATAACAAGGTGCCGTATATTTTTCTTGATCTACGGCTCTCGATCACGTGCTATACGTGGTATGCATGAATTGGCACCTGTTCGCCGAACTACTTTCTAACAACACCTCTTTGTACGGTTTTTTTATTGTGAGCGATAACACTATGTATGTCCGATAATGATTACTGTTTAATTACAAAATAAAAAAAAATATTAACTTACTGAAAGTGTTTGTTTTGTTTAAAATCTTCATCGAAGACCTAAATAAGACATACAAGTCTATTTATGTAAAACAAGCGTTCATAGTATCGATATACGAAATGTCAAACTACTGTAAAGACGATGAAATTTGCGAAGATTTAAGCCAGGGGACTTTTGACATCCTTTGGGGTGATTTATGAGAAAGAATAAGAATCAGATTATAACTGCTGTTGCAGAGGTGTCTAATGTTGACCTTATGAATGAACATGAAATTGATACTGAAATGCTGATTACTGAAATGACTGAAGATCATGGTAATTACTGAAATCATACAGACACACTACCTGTCGCTTATGAAACTAAAAGGTCTACTATTAGTAATACTGTAGCAAATAAATTCCCATCTACTTCTACTGAAACATATGAAAATTCCATGTCTTGCTAGGACATTTAAGAATCAACAAAAATTGATCTAACTGAATCAGAATTCATAGACATTTCTTCTAATGATGTTAGAAATATAATATTAAATGAAGAGAACAACAATACACTAAAGAAATGTCTTATGTAGCGAAATTTGAAAGATTTCTAGCAGCTTAACAAGACAAAATAATCCATGAAATTGAACCAGACCTGTTAGACGAGTTTTTAGCCAACTTAATTCTATCAGTAAGGAAACCATATGGAAATGATTATGAATCTTCTAATATCAGAAACATGGTATGAAGCATTAATACTATTTTTTTACGGCGCAGAGGTCAAAGCTTACAAAAACAACGTAACAACAGGGGATATAACTCTATTAAAATTAAAGGTAACTTGCCTTATTTAATTAAAAAAAACGTGGCAGGATAAATAGAATGATAGATTGGTGCCTTGGATGCAGACGTTTATCTGGCCCTGCCTTCGGCTCACCCAATAAATTCCTACGCCTCGCCAGATAAACTTTCTCCATCCACGGCACCAACCTATTATTCTCTATTTCCTGTGAATAGAATAAACTTTTTTATTCTTATCCTTTTAAACTTTACGTTAAAGGTAACGTATAAAAACATCTTCACACATCCGTGATGTTAAGCGAAATAATTCACTGACGTGACTGATGGAGAAAAGCGGTGAAATAACATGTGCAACAACAGGAAAATGTTGTCAAAATCATAATAACCTTTAATTCGCACAAAAAAAACAACAACAAAAAAACATAGAGAAAATTGGACAACATGTTGATACACACTTGCGGTCATATTCAGTGATAATTGATTGATTATTTAGTAGCATGCGTTACAAAATCGGTATCAGACGGAAATACAAAATCACCTATTTTATAAGCAAAAGTGGATAAATATATCTTTTTTCGTCCATTACAGGTCTAACATGGTGGTTTCCCTGGAGAGAACCTGATGAAGGCTTCTGTTGGACCGAAGACGTGAGTTTTTTTCATTTTAAAAAAGTTATCACCAGTATGGAACAGAAAGAGCAACGAAACAGCCTCTGAGTATTAATCAGATGGCCGAGTGTTTTGATGTTCTTATTCTTTTGTATCATAGTCAAACATAAAAGCATGTACCCTGTTGTCGCAATATAAAATCCCAGAAAAGGGTAACCAATTAACGAGCACCTGAATATGATATTTATATCGCTTTCCCTTTCTCTGTCATCACAATAATTAACCCCAGCAAAAATGAGCCAATCATTGGCATGATCTGGATGCGGGTAACTAATACCATCATTACAGTTAACGCACTGTGTATATGTATATTATATATATATATATATATATATATATATATATATATATATATATATATATATATATATAACCAAAAACACAGTCAATGAGTTAACTTATTTAATTATTTGCCACCCGGCAAATTACTTAACCCTGACACGTTTTCAATAGAAATGTCCCCAAACTATGATACACATGAAACGTAACTCCTTCCGTTCTTTAAATACCGTATTTTCCGGACAATATGACGCGGCCTATACGTTAAAAATTATCAAAATTACTTTTTTGTTCTTAGTTGTAATATTACAATTAAAATACTTTTAATTGGCCAAGATACATTACAATGACATTAAATTCTATGGTTTCTATATTAGCTACAGCAAATAATTAAATGATATTTATTTTAAAATAAATTTTGGTTGCAAATTTAAAAAAAAAATCGGTCTAACTATACCATAATAACGACCGGTTTAGTTTCTAACTTTTGTCAGCTTAATCATAAATAAGGTAAACAGGTTTTCAGAATGTCATTTTCATTTATATTTAGATAGTTTACAAATTTAAACTCTTTTTTAAATTACAATAACTAAATTACAATAAATGCGGCTTGGCGTCAGGTTTTGTTGATCTTGATTGTGCGATTTTTTACGCAGACGTCTCAATTCGTCTTCATAGTACTACCGTTTATGGAACGACCTTGCTCAAGATAGTCAATCATGATTATTTCCTGGATATCCCAAAAAAATGAAGTCATCATCTTCCCTGCTGATGGCATCCTCTTCATTTATTCGGAGGGGGTGAGTCAGAGTGCTTCCACTGCATGCTCAGTTGTTTGTTTTTTTTGGATTCGGGTTTGAAGTGATGGACCCATATTTCATCATGACTTACGATCTGGTAGATAAAATCAAGTTCATCCTCGTAGCGAGACAAAAGATATTTTGAAATGTCAAGCCTGGTCAGTCAACTGTCTGGGGACCCATCTAGCGGAAACCTTTGACATGCCATAGACATCAGTCAGAATTGCTGAACTGAACCAAAGCTAATACTCACTTCCCTAGCAATCCTTCACAGGTCTCCCCTTCTGTCGCACATGCCCAGATCGTACACAGCTTCGGCAGTTTCATCGTTGGTGGCCTCATTTGGCCAACCAGGCCGCTTATCATCTCCAATGCTCTCCCTGCTCCTCTTAAATTAAGGTGCCCATTTTTTCACAGTGCTATATGAAGGGGAATCCTTCATGGATTTCCTTGGGGGACATCCCTTTCTTACAGAGGTACTTAATGACGGCTCTAATATCAACTTTCTCCATTCGGTATAAATGACACACCCCTCTACCGATCAAAGTGTGTTTTATGTAACTTTATCTGTGTAAAACTTGTGTAACTCGGTCAGTAATCTTCAATCAGATATCAGTATCGACGCATCGTGTGTAAATGTCCGTGTAGTGGCTAAAAGAATATCGGGCCGAGAACTTTTTGATCACACCTCGTAGATATTATATAAATAACACATGGGTTTGTGGATAACAGTAAAATATCATCCCGAGGAAAATACTGTTACCCAAGGCGTAGCCGAGGGTAACAGTATTTTTACGAGGGATGCTATTTTTACCCACAAACCCATGTGATATTTATTTTATTATCTCGAACAAATACTGTGATGATCTGAATTTGTATGTTACAAAAATAAACCAAGAGTAGCAATAACTAAACTGTCCTTACCTTGCAAGTTTTAAGTGTACTGTAGGCCTACTTGAGAAGCTGTTTTTCTTTTATTCTTTAATCAAGTGATGATATCTACCAGTCATAAACATACAAAAAGCTGTGTTTTATTAAGAAAACAAAACACTAATCCATTTATAAGGTTATGATCTGTGAAATCTGATCCTTCTGTATCCAGAATATTCTTCGCATGGTTTTTGACAAAGTGCATTACAAAATAACGATGATCTCCAACAGATGTCTGTCCACCAACTATATCTGTAACGTTTCACTGGTTAAAATTGTTAAATAATCCTTTGTTGCATGCTTTAATCGTCTGCATGTTCCAGTTTGACACAAAATTATTCACATTACAATTACTTCCGTTGAAAACATATGTTTACTTTTTGACTATTCAACAAAAAGATAGTTCATACGCGAAAAGAACTCTACTGTAGGGTGCAAAGAACTAAATTTTATTAGAGTCATACTTACTTTTGTGATGCCCTAGGCTCTATCGTGGAAAATAAGAATGAATCGAGAGAAAAATGGCGGCCATTTTATTTCATTTAATTTAGAAAAAAGACCACGTGACCGGATTTTATACTGTTAAAAATACTGGTACCTATGTAACAGTACAAAAGTCTTAGTCACGTGGTACACTTGCATTAACAGTAAGAATAACTCCCAGAGGCCTATCGGAAATTAACATTATGAAAAAAGTGAGGGGTAATAACATTTAATTACTTTGACATTTTGAAATTTAGCCCAAAACTCGCAGTTCTGAATCATTTGTATTTCATGTACTTTCCGAAAAGCTTATTATTCTGCCCTAGCTCTGCATTTTGTAATGCCTCGGTGACATTTCAGTTTAGATAGAATCTATAGTCTCATGTATGTCAGAATAATTATTCTGTCATTTCTCATTACAAAACTTTTATTTACAATCAATTCTGACCTATAATACTATACCATTTTTGATTTCACCTATTAGGACGACCATTAAAGGAATATTCATTTAATTTGCTACACACATAGTAAGCTTTTTGCTTTGATTTATTTTCCTGCAGCTTTTTTATACGCCCGTAAAAAATTCGTCGTATATTATATGCACCTGGCTGTTCGTTCGTCCGTCAGTCTGTCAGCAGTTTTCGTGTCCGGTCTTTATTGTTTGAACAGGTGGAAGAAAATTAAAACTGGTTGGCAGTAACCATCATTTTAATTATAATTAGACGATGTGCAGAGTTCATGATTGACCTTTATCTTGTCAAGGTGACACTAAATCATTTTTTCATCTATTTCAAAATTCTGTGTCCGCTCTGTATCTTTTGAAACGATAGAAAGAAAGTAAAACATTTTGGTAGTAATATTTCTTATAATGAGATGGTGTGGAAAACAAGCGCAGTCTTGGGATTTACGAGATGCAATTTAAACTCGCCCCGACCCGGGAGTTACTTGTTTTTTTATAGAATTGTTATGTAGGAGTTCTCGTGTCCGATCTGTATCTTTCGAACAAGAAAATTGGAATGTTAAGTACCATAATTACATAATATAAAGTGCAGGTTTGACTTAAACCAGGTCAAGGTCAAGCAAATTATTAGTCGCAATGTGTTATTATCGAAATGTTGTGTCCGCTCCAGTTGTAGGAAATTAAATTTATTTGGCAGAATTTTTTTTTTATTGAGGTGATGTACATAGCGCAGATTCAGGCTTCTTCGGGTCAAGGTCATACTGACTCATTCAAAATCCTTAAACAAGTGTTTATATTATGAAGGGATAATATACTTGAATGTGAGGTATGTTATCACCCAGAAGTTTTAAAAATATATTACTTTATTATGTTTTTTTTATCAAACTTTATATATAGTTTTTCTGTTAAGATTATAATTATTAAAGAGTTCATAAGTTTATTTGATTTCATTATAGTTTTAAAATAAGGCATTCTTAATAATTAAAATGGATGTTAATTAAAATATGTAAATTCAGTAAATAACAAAAAGTTGTAAATTATACATATTATTGCCATTTTTAAGGCAATTTATTAAAATAAAGATCTCTAGGTTACTTGTAATTCTTAATTCGAACACGCTATTTCGGTTTAGCCATATTGTGGGCAAATATCTTACTAATATCTTATTGGATTAATATCTTATATTATTACCCCTCACATTTTACGTAACGTTAATTTCCCATAGGCCCATGGGAGTTATTCTTACTATTAATGCAAGTGTACCACGTGACCAAGAAATTTAAATTGTTACAGGGGTAACAGTATAAAATAAAATAAAATGACCGCCATTTTTATCGATTCATTGTTATTTTCGAAGTTTACCACAATAGGGCATCACTAGAGTTACTATGACCACCAATAAAATTAAGTTGCTTGCACTCTGGACAACAACAGTAACAGCAAAAATATCATCCCGATGAAAATACTGTCACCCGAGACGTAAAACAGTTGAATAGTAAAAGTAAATTATGTAACTTCGAAACGTTGCATCAAATATTGGTTACGATCATTCCGTTTGCCCCATATCTGAACTATACGTTTATGCTATAATATGCAATGCTTTTTGCTGATAAATATCATACATCAATTTCACATACGCATAAGGGCTTTAAGACAACTAGTATACTCCGGCAAGATTTTCCATAATAAGGGCATACACATAAAAGGCCTATGTGCACTGCCATGTTTCTGTCTAACGGATCCTCCGTTAAATAAGGTTTGTCACACACATTTCTCAATCTTCTCTAGAACTAAGTTACTTTTTGCACACACACCACAACTATTTTGATTTAAAAACACATGTCGATTTCCATAGTCGTCCAAAGTGGTAATTCCATTGCATCAGAAAAAGAATGACTTCTTCCTCATTCAGAACTGTCCTAAAATGTCCTTGTGTCTGTTTTCGAATGCTATAACCTTACGTATTTTTTAGTTAATTCATAATTGTTCTTTAAATGAACCTGCTTTTCACTATAACGCTAACTATTTGTTAATGTGCAGAGAACAGACATCAGTTTGTCATTCATAAAAAAATCATCGTAAGGTACCGCAATGTTTGCAAACATTTAGTTTATTAATTAATTATCATGCGTACGGTAACAATTAATGTAGTTATGTACGAATATGTCGTTATTTTTTCTTGTATTTAGTTCTGTTATGAACGGTTAATATGTTTGTGTTATTACTAATCAAATACATGTTCCAATACTATTTTAACATGTTTTAACATATTTGTCAGGTTGCCGATGACAGTTGAAGTAACGAATAACTCAGTAACATTTTCCTTAATACATGTATAAAGTATATTCATTTATTTTTATCATAGTATACAATTATATCTTCTGTTCTGCATACACTATATCGTTCGTACAAAAATTACAACATAAACCAAATATTTCAAGCAAACCGACTCTTACATACGTTATTTGTCAAGTTCCATAACCAATTTTTCATATCTTGCCAATTCACCTCGCTTAGAAATTATCGTACCGCTTGAGATTGACCTTGAATGTGATTATATGTTTAATGTTATTTAACCATACCTTGTAAAAATATCTGGAAAAAGTGATCCATCGGAAGCATTAAAATCGATAAAACTACATTAAAATTGCAGACTCGGTTTGATTGAGTCTGCACATAAGGAATAATGAAAAAGTGCAACATCCTTCCAACACACTCTAGCACCGGCTTGAGTGGAACTCAATTTTCCACAATTAAAATTGCTTGAACCAATGATTCTGAAGGACCAAATATAACTACACTGAAGGTTAGTAGGGGAAACTTTTACGACTGCCAGAAATTAGTATGATAATTATACTGTATTATGTATAAGTTTACTGCTCTGAACTCTACATTAATATTTAGACATGTATTTGTTTTGTTAATGGGCAAGTGGGTGTCAATATTGTTAATATTTTTAATACAGTACAGGTAGGTGTCCAATATTAATGTGTAAGTCCAATATTAATCGTGTAACACATTAATATCAGACAGCGTGTCGTGTAGTGAAGCTTGTATGACCACAGGACTTTATGAACAATTATCAAAAAAAAAAAAAAAAAAAAGATTAAGTAAAAAATGTAACCACTCTTTTTATATCATAAGGAGGAATGCAGCGTCTTTCTTTCGGCCTTTACGCATTTTTACAGAATTATACGACAAAAAAATAATTGTTATCTTGCGATGATTTCTTAGCTCATTTCTCGAATTCTATCTTCAAGCCTTCTGGTTTTCGATTTCCAAGCTCTTAAAATCATTTACGCTTCCCTAGTAAAAGGTAGCAGAGCGTCAGTAAGGATATGATTTTAATTTGATTGTTTAATTTCTTGCCTTTTGTCCGTTTTTCTTTTTTGAATACATTTAGTTGAAAATCATACTTGATTTGCTTCATTGTATGTACGTAATGTTTCAGTTAGTTCAACTTTACAGTCAGCTTTTCAAATAAATGTAATAGAGAAATTCAAAATAAAGGCGCTTATATTTGACCACATATGCATTTGACTTATATATAAATGCCATTTCAGACTCCTGTGGTATGACAAATATCAATTCAAAAATAATGATAAAATATCATTTTGTTTCATAAATATCCAAAATTCACAATAATGGTCATTTTACATCCGTGATAGTTAAAGTAAATTAACAAATTTCATTTCTACACTAAATGGTAAGTATAAACCCTTCCTAAAAATCATAAATCGTCTCAGTCAATCATTCAAAATATCCAGGATTTAACACAAATTTGAAAACTTTTTATTGTTCCTAATTCTTATAAAAAATCACCAGTGTAAATCGATGTATACTGTATGCGTGTAATTGGTATAATTTGTGTATATCAATGTGTTCATGTACATAATTGGTCATATTTCAAAACACGAAAATTTCATGCTACGGACATTTTGTTATTCAAGAGGCTACCTATAGTGTTTTGCAAGTAAGAAAAAATATTGCTAAAACATTAAGATTGTACATTTCTAGCACGAAATACATAATTTCTAATTTTGCAATAGATAATATGATATTTGACAGTAAAAGTAGTAATTTAAGTAAGATATAAGCCTCAAACTGACCAATAAGTAAAATATTGAATTCCCTTCGGTAGCATATTTAGAAGTTACAGTTTCCCCAATTGGATCATAATCAGCTCAAGCAAAGTTAGCCTGATTTTATTAAAAGCTTCTTATTGCCTTGACCCCCAGTAAAATGTTTCGTACTCAACAGATGTCAGATAGGTTTCATGTCCACTGCTTATGACAATTTCCATAAAACTAAGTACCTCTTGTATATATTTTGGAGGACATTAATTTCTTATGAACTTGACCTTGTCAATATCTACTGAGATTCCGTCTTGGGCAACTTAATATTAAATTGAGTTTTCGTTTGCTTTATTCCTAAGTTGTACTGTTTGAATAAAGACAGCTTGTTTAGAATGGCACTACTGTGTCACATTGAAGGTTCCATGATGAACGCCGTATGTACACATCTGCGGATGTTTCTAAATTCAAAATTTCACCATTTTCGTGCTAAATGTTGAATTCTGATTAAGCCGGTGCTAGGGGGCGTGGACGGTAACTTGCACTTTCCAGTACCGTCCATGAACAGGCTCAATCAAACCGAGCCTGCAACATTTTCAATGTTGACGTGTTGGACTTTCTTTAGGGATTCTGTTTTTCTCTATTTTAAAACAGACAACATTTAAGCAAATTATATGTTAATGAACGGACTATTTTTTCCCGGCATACAGACAGATAATATGAAGGGGTCCATTTAAGATGTACAGAAATGACTGTCTGATGCCATTCTAAAATCTTTTAAACGTTTTTTTAAAGACATAACTTGTTTTATTGCTTGATTAAGAATATTTCCCTTTTTCTAAAAGAACCCTTTGAGGTATTCACTTTAACCTTAAAATATTTGTTTAACAGTCTAGACCAAGTACGTCTGATAAGAATGTTTGCCCCCTTTTCTAAGTTGCCTTTTTTTTTGCTATCCAGTACTGAGAAAAATGGAGCACGCTGTCCGCTCACAAGAGTATTTGTAAACAATCTAGGATTGGGGCATTTTCGTTTACTAAGCACGTTCTTGTTAATTTCTTAAATCGTTATTTTGAGAGGTTGAGGCCTTATTGTCCGGAAAATTAGGTATATCTTTTCGTTTTTACGTAATATATCAATACAGCAGTACTACAACGCATTGTTCACAGTACGAAAAATACAGCTTTGTTTTAAGATTACCATAATATTGTTTAGAAACATGATTAATGATTAACCGTTCAAACGACAATATTACATAGTACCAGCAACTAATCATCTGATAATATAAAATTATTGACTAGTGAGCCATTGAATATGATGTGATATTCACCGGCAGATGACATATTGACCGAGGCGATAGCCGAGGTTAATATGATATTCTTTCGGTAAATATCACATCATATTCAATGGCTCACTAGTCAATAATTGTTTTATGATATTAATAGGCTAAAAAATATATAAAAAATCACAAAAATTACAATCTTATATGCATGTACTAATTTTGCCTTGTTGAAGCTCGGGAAAAATACGCACGCGATAGGCATGCAACGACTACGCGAACGCTGCTCATACAAAGATAATTCAAGTTTATACTCATCATTGCGGTGCGCCTTTAAGTATAATAGTAAAGTTATGATATTTTAATCGAGAAATATGCCATAAAGAACAAAAAGCAACAATTATTTTTTTAATAAACACGCGTAATTTACAGTCTACTGTGTATGATCATTGAATATGAGTCTCAAATCTATTTTAGACTGGGAAAATCCAATTCAGCCAGTGAATATGAAACTACTCCCAGTGAAAAGTTCTGTTGACTACTGTTTGGACAAAAGAGATGACAGCTATATTTAGATCATATAATAATAGTATTTATATTCTTTCAGACAGAAAAGAAACTAAAAACTGAGATTGAAGGAATTAAACCAACAGAAAGGTCTGGTCTCACAAAGTTAAAAGCTCTTACAATTGGCGCATGTGGACATGGGAAGTCGGCACTGATTAACTCAATTGCTTCAATAAATGCTGGCTACAAAACTACTGTTTGTAATGCTGCTCCGTCAAATGAAACTGTTACCAGAGTTGTGAGTTTTACACGTTATTTCTTTACGCTATCGGTTTTTATTTAGCACAGTGTTGTTAAAATACACTAAATCTTTCGTGTTTATCCTCTTTTATATTTGCAAATATTTCTCAATCTGAAACATTTATTATTAGTAGTATACTGAGTATATGAAATAGATTCAAATATATATAATTTAGCAAATATGCCCTATCTGTCTTCATTTTAAATCTACCATGGTTATTAAATAATAAGTAACGCTGTCTCTTTTTTATGTCACCGCAGCATCTGCGATGCGGTGGCATCAAGCGATTCAACAATGTGTGTGTGTTTGCGTGTGTGTGTGCGTGTGTGCGTGCGTGTGTGTGTGTTTGTATGTGTGTTATAAAGATTATATAGTGAACTTAAAAACTCTTCTTTTGAAAAACAACTTGTCAAATTTCAACAAAACTTGGCAGGATTGATCCTTGGGTGAAGGCCTTCCAAAGTTGCTCAAAGAATTTCATTCCATGCAGCATCTGGATGCCATGGCAACCAAAAGGAATTATAAGAATAATTTGTTTAAATCTTCTTGTAAAGACCCATAAGGCATATAGAATAGATATTTTGCATAAGGCATTGTATAGAAGACCTCTACCAAGATTATTCAAATTATAGCTTTGGGGTCAAAATTGGCACCGCCCCGGGGATCATTGATTTCCACTATGTGTACATTAAGTAAAAACTTTAAATACCTTCTTTCCTGATGGTGCAAGGCTTAGAGCTTTGATATTTGGTATATGATATCATCAAGAGGTACTCTACCAAAGTTGTTCAAATTTTGCTTTTAGTGTCAAAATTAACCCCGCCCTCGGAGTCATAGGTTTTTCTTATATGAATATTGTAAAACCTTTAAAAAATCATCTTCTCGAAACGGACAAATGCTAGAGGTTAGATATTTTGCATGAAACATTGTGTAGTGAACCTCTTCCAACATTTCTCAAACTATATCATAATTCTCAATCTCAATATGATAAGCATCAGAGACAATCATATATTTGTAACAAACATTATCATATTGAGATTCAGAATTATGATTCTTAAATCTTAAAAATACTGTAATAATATTTGTGTACATTTATGATATCGTATATTCGTCAAGTGTAGAGAAAAAAAAACTGACATTAAGGACTATATAAAATATTTGTATTTTAGTTCAGAGATATCGAGTTTGATGACGAATTTGGTCAATGTGTTTTTGGGGATATTTCTGGGCTTCCCCTGTCAACGGATATTGATCCATTTCTAGATGATATAAAGCTTATCATAAACGGTCATATTAAGAGCGGATATAAGGTAGGTTTACTTTAAATTCATTGAAATATGTTATATAGACATGATGTATTCATCGATGAAATCTTGACTAAAACGGAAGTACTTAAGAACCGAATACTATTTCTATTTGAGTATAAAGTACCGGATGGCATGTCCCACAAAAGACCAGTTTTTTCATCAAGATACTTTGACCAAAACATTGCTTTACCATCTTCGTTTAACACATCCATAGAATATATGTGTTCGGACATTCAACCACAGTTGTTTTTAGAATTTATATCATGATTTGTTTGGTGCATTTATGAACGGAACATCAATTTCTAACATTTTATCAATGAATACACAAAATGGTCACTGTTTCAATCATCCGCGCCTATGATAAATGCTATTCAAAGATATACATGTAATCGGTCAAAATATGAAGATGTCCCGTCCAGCATGTTTCTGGGGTTAGTAGGACAAAGGTCAAGGTAACAGTGACCTTCAGTAGCTAGTAGGACAAGGCTTTCATGGATGGCATCTTAATAACACAATCATTTGTACCTTTTTGGGACAATTTTATGTATTCATATAGGTTTAAAGCATTATTATACTCAATGAACCCCCACTGTGACGTATCTTCCGAATTGTTCAGCTCAAATCAGTTTTTGTCGCAGCTGGGGGGGGGGGGGGGCGACTGAAATATATTATACATTTTTGTATATAGTTTTATTAGTGGCTCTCTTCATTTGTTTATTTTTCTTTTATTTTGTTGTTATTTTATCGTCGACAACACAAAATAATAAACAAACATCGATTGAAACAGCAAAACAAAATTTATATCGTCGCATGATAAAAATTGTATTCGCTCTCTTATGGCAGAAATCAGATACCATAGATTTGTAAGTATATAATTCATCACTAATTGATGACTAGTAATTCCCTTTACGAAGATCTGTCCTGCTGTTAGGCTTTGGAATTTTGTTGTAAATAAGAATTGAAATTTTTGTTAAAAGGAGTTCTTTTTGAGTTAAGAAAGTATTTTACAACATTTAGATATAAAAGTTAATGTAATGTAATGACGTTTACCTACGTAATCAGTTAAATACACTGCACTACACTGCACATTCAAACAGTATATATTTATGAAAAAAATGCTATTTAACTTGTTAAAACAAAGTATAACACCCCTGACAAGTTTTAAAAGCATCTTGTTTCCTAAATTTTATACTTTTATAACGTTGCATTTAATATATGCCCGACGAAAGATGCAACATTTGTTGCTCAATTTCACGCATATTTTTGATAAAAATAAGTACTGTCAGAATACTAAAAAAACAACAATACACCGAAAGAATTGTTCCATGCTGAATATCTATAACCATTTTCAAAGCGCTTTGTTGTTAAACAAAGCCACAAGCAAAGTTTATTTTACACTGTGGACCTCGTTACGTCCGAGCGATCATAACTCTATATATCTTTTATGGAAGAGATTTTGGTTGTAATGGTTGATCCAATGTCCCTTGTTAAAAATGTTAACAAAGGTTTTTCGAGTAATTTCTTTGTTTCAGCTTTCTATATTCTTTCAACAAACTGTTTGGATGTAGTGCTAATTGGTTTAAACATATCTATTTTAAGCTCGATTGCGAAACAAGTTCTTGCAACTTATTTTCATCACTTAAGAGTAGGCTTCCTGGAACCAATAAATACTGATCTATGTATCAAAAAAACATGGTCGGGACCCGATTAGTGATCGACACCATGATCCCTGGGTTGAAAAGCAGACAACTTAACCACTTAGCCTCAGCTCCCCTTACAAATAAGTGCTAATTATTATTTCATTCCTGTAAACTGTTGGCTTAATAGCTCCCCCTGATCCATTAGTCTCTATGTGAAAGTCTTTGATCATCGCCATTTGCGGATGTTTCAAAATTCAAAATGGTACCAGTTCATGTTAAATTTTGAATAATGCTTAAGCCGGTGCTAGGGGGCGTGGTCGGTAGTTTGCACTTGACAGTACCGTCTATGAACAGGCTCAATCGAACTGAGCCTTCAACTTTTTCAATGTTGTCTTGTTTAGCTTTCTTTAGGGATTCTTATTTTTTCTATTTTGTAATTGGTTGATAAATTTCATTATATATTTTCTGACTAGCACTGCGGCCAATCTTGGCTTCTATAATTTTATAACGTTGAGCTTTCAATTTACATCCTGTGGTTATTTTTTGTCACTTATCTAGTTAATTTTGATAACATTTTCAATTCTGATAACAGATAATGTTAGATAATGTAAGATAATATATTATATAATGGAAATTCAAAGTTATGAATATCAAAAAAAAAAAAACTCTGATAATAACATTTTTAACCATCCAAATAGCGATCTTGATTAACAACAATCAAGAAGCCATCCAATTAAAAGTGTTGTATTTTACTCTTTATTTAATTCTTTGAATTTTATTCTGTTAATATCTACTATAAAACCATACTTTACGCATTCACAAAAACAAAAGAAGCAGTGCGTCATTCTCACCTTAACACACACACACACACACACACACACACACACACACACACACACACACACACACACACACACACACACACACACACACAAAAAAAAAAAAAAAAAAAAAAAAAAAAAAACATTTTGCTATACTATACGCACGTACGGAGCCCCTAAGGTGACATTTTCCACACTTTTCTTCCCGGAACTTAATTTGTTTTTACGAAATGATAATTCGTAATTACGAAATATAAATTCGTTTTTAAGAATATTAATTCGTTTTTACGAAATATTAATTCGTAATTACGAGATATTAATTCGTGTTTACGAAATATTAATTCGTTTTTACGAAATATTAATTCGTAATTACGAAATATTATTTCGTGTTTACGAAATATTAATTCGTTTTTACGAAATATTATTTTGTTATTACGAAATATTAATTCGTAAAAACGAAAAGTTATTTCGTAATTACGAAATAATAATTCGTAAATACGAAATAATAATTCGTAAAAAACGATTTTTTTCTAGGGTGTAAAAGACTTTTGGTAATATTTATAAAGAAGGACTTAACACTAAGTTCCTGACTAAATATAAGGCGTGTTAAAGCAATATAATTAGTGACTTTTTTCTCCCCAAGTTTTACAACTTAACACTTATGTACACTTAAATTAAAATAATCGGCTGTCAATAGCGTTGCCGCCACAGCCGTGGTTGTACAGCGCTAGGAAAATTTTGTTAAAATGGGGGTCCTGTGCTTCAAATCCATCGTTCTGTCGATGAGTTTTGAAATCAAATATTATGTTTTTTATGATCACATTACTTTTAAAGAAATATACTTTTTTAACTTGATTAGATGAGTGAAAATCTGGAGCCCTCCCCCCTTTTAGTTTAACTAATGTATATGATAAAAGAAAGTAATAATATAGCATGTTTCTTTTTAAAGAAACATGTCAGAAAAGATTAATAACCTCAAAAATTAAAACATTGCTGATTGGAACATTTATTTCACAATGGGGAAAAAGAGTACATATTTCGTAAAAACGAATTATTATTTCGTAATTACGAAATAACATTTCGTTTTTACGAATTAATATTTCGTAATTACGAATTAATATTTCGTAATTACGAATTAATATTTCATAATTACGAAATAATATTTCGTCATTACGAAATAATATTTCGTAAAAACGAATTAAATGCCGGGGAAAAAGTGTGGAAAATGTCACCTTAGGGGCTCCGTACGCACGGGCCTAGTGTGGAAACATTTCAAATAAATAGCATTTGAAAGTTTAAAGCAAAACTATATTAATGTTTCCACACTTAAGTAACTATATCAAAACACTTGCCTTTGCGACATTGAAAGAAGGCTTTTCGTCATTACCTTAAAAATATTATCCATGATTGCAGTTCCTTGCTTACATGATGATAAAGGGTTAAAATGATATGGTACTGGTATCAAGAATCTTTATGATATCTTTTTTGATTGTAGAAAAAATCGTATCATAGCTACCATAATAAATAAAATAAATACTGTTCTTTCTTTTTTGTATTATTGCAGTTTGATCCAAAGAAAAGTATATCCCCTGAAAACAAGGAGTATTATAAAGAAACGCCTTCAATTTCCGATAAGATTCATTGTGCGATTATTGTCTTTGATAGCAGACATTGGGAAGAAATACATAAGAGTATTATAAGGAACGTCAAGAAGATCATGGAAACACTACACTCAATGAGTATCAAAATTTGCATATCGTTTTTAACTTGTGTCTTCCATATTAAATATGTAGTTTACTGGATTATAATTTTATTTTTGCAAGTTCTTATCTGTGTTTTGCATTTTTCATTACATTAACATAAATAGACCTTTCAGATTAAACTTAAATATTCCACTACAATTGTAAGGAAGAGCATAACGCCATGCCATGTCTACTCGCCGTTGGGTTACATATAGATCCCTTAGACGTGATCTGAATACTGGAATAAAGTTTTTAATATTAACCGATCCAGGAAATAACGAAACGTCGGCCAATATAGCGTTTTGTAACATGTCTCAAAACTTTTGATGACCTATTGAAAACATTTGAATTATTCGATAGATCATTTCTTGTTGCACAATAATTGTTAAAATGCAATTTTGACTCTTATTGCCGTGTGACTTTAACTAATATGCTGCCATTCTTACATATATTTAAATGTAAAGAGGTAATCTACTTAGTTAATAATACAATGAAAGAATAAATGTTGACATTTTAACATTTCATAATCATTTACAAATTTTTCAGTGCACACATTCAATATTTTCTGTGAACACATTCCATATATTCTGCTTTGCTAAAGCCCGATACTTCATAATTATAACTCAAAATAGATGGAACAACTGAACATTAATTATATAGATATATCTGACTTTTGTAATGTTGAGTGAAGCTGGCTAGACATTCAGCCAACGTTTAGCTCGACATTCGTTTTTTTGTCTTCTTTTTGAATGTCGAGCTGGGATATGCAGCGGGCTAGACATTCACCTAGACATTCAGCTAGACATTCGTTTTTGTCAATTTTTCAATGTCTAGCTAGAATTTGAAGCTCGGTAAATATTCAGCACAAGATTCAGCTCGACATTTGTTTTTGACTTCTATCCGAATGTCGAGCAGGGATGTTAGCCTGGCAAGACATTCATCACAACATTCAGGACGACATGCGTTTTTGTCTTCTTTTCGAATGTCGAGCTTGGATGTGAAGCTAGCTAGACAGTCAGCACAACATTCAGCTTGACATTAGGTTGAATGTCGAGCAGGGATGTAAAGCTAGCTTGACATTCAGCGCAGCATTTAGATCGACATTCGTTTTTAGTCTACTTTTAGAATGTCAAGCTGGGATGTAAAGCTGACAGGACATTCAGCTCAACATTCAGCTCGACATTCTTTTTTATTTATTTTTCAAATGTTGAGCTGGATTGTGAAGCTGGCTAGACAATCAGCACAACATTCAGCTCAACATCCCTTTTTTCACATGTTTGACTATAGAGTTGGGATGTGAACCTTGCTAGACAGTCAACACAACATTCAGCTCGACATTAGTTTTTGTCTCCTGTTTGAATGTCGCGCTGAATTGTTGAGCTGGCTAGACATTCAACACAACATTCAGCTCGGCATCCCTTTTGTCTTCTTTTTGAATGTCGAGCTGGGCATCGAAGCGGGCTGGTTTATTAATATTTTATTGCATATTTTGTACATGATAAATTTACACAATCTAACATCATTATCTTAAGCATAAATATAATGTACATACAAAAGGGTTGGACCAAAAGTTATACCAACATTATCTAGGGTCCTCCCCTGAAGGTCTATATTGTTGGCTTAATGGTAACATAGTTAGTAAATGTGGTTTTTAGAAATTCTGAGATATCTATTTATATGATAAGCGATATTAGTTTCATGTATTTTAACTGGTAAAAAAGAATGGCTTAACCTAAAAAAAAAACAAAGAAAATTACAAAATGACTTAATGGGGTAAAATGGAAAAAAAATATATGCCATTAACAATTTGCCACTATAATAAAACCAAACCTTGATTTGCAGCAGTATTTTAATAAACTTAAAATGAAAATAAATATAGTACATGTGTAAACAAAATTAGGTTAATCTTCTACTACTTTTGATGAAACTGTGCACTTCTTGAAAAAGTCTTATGTTTTCGGCTTCTGCAAGTCCATCAATACCGTGATATAATTTCTTACTACTGAGAGGATGAAATGACCTGGTATTCAAAAAAAGTATACGTCTTTGCATAGTATATAATTTAAATAGGAAAAAATAGTGCTCCGCATTTTCGATGTCTGCGCCGCATTGGCATAATGGACTTGAAACTAAGTGGTTAATTTTAAGTTGCTACAATTGTTTATAATTCGGGTTTGGTGGACATTCAAGAAATGATCTCCGTATAGGAAAAACGATGGAACTACTGGAGGTTTATATAACTGTTTAATCTTGTTTTTAAATGAAGCTAGCGACTGTGATTCGCGATTGTTTGTCGGAAGATTATTCCATAATTGAATAGCTGATGGAATAACTAATTTTGAGTAAATTTCGGTACGTCTGGCTTAAGTAATAAAGTCACTTTTATTACTTAAGGAATAATAGTTTTCTAACGCCATCTCGACAGATGGTGGAAAAAGTTGCATAAGATATTGTGGTAATAAATTATATTTTCCTTAATACATTAAAACTAGTTTTTGAATTTGTCGTCTGTCTGAAAGTGAAACCCATCCTATCTCTTTATGTAAATTTTGAATTGATACGGATCTAGTTAAACCAGTTACCACGCGAGATGCTTCGTACTGAATTTTTTCTAACGTTTCTTTTTCTAACTGGGTACAATTATCCCATACTTAAGATGCATATTCTAAATGTGGACGTAAATAAGATATGTAAATGTTATTCAGAGTATTTCTTTATACCTTGAATTTTAGCAATTTATTGAACCAAGAATTCTTGCAGCTTTGGATACTATAATAGATATATGTTCATGCCATGACCCATCTTGACTGAATGTTACCCCTAAATGCTTATGGTGGTCTACATACTTCAGCTGTACATCATTGAAAAAAAATCGTTTTATTTCGATTACAAAATGAAAAGAACATGACCTCAGTTTTTGCTGGTTTGAAATTAACAAGCCATTGTTTAGACCATGATGTAATTGTGATAAGGTCTTTATCTCTTCCATATATGAGACATCTTTAGATGAGACTGCCAACGAACTGTCGTCGGAAAAAATGTCTAGTTACACTTAGAAGGTATTCGGCAATGCCATTAACATAGATTAAAAATAAAAGAGGACAAAGGACGGATCTCTGGGGGACTCCTCTAAGTAATGTTGTAGTATTAGAGAAAGAGGAAGACACAAAAACTTTCTGAGACCTATTATAAAGATAAATGTTTTACCATGAGATCAATTTTCCTAGAATTCCATACTTTTTTAATTTGAAGATAAGACCTTCATGCCAAACTCGATCAAACGCTTTTGAAATATCGAAAAATATAATACATGTTGATTCTTTGTTGTCTAAAGCTTTACAAATTTGATTATAAATATTAATAAGCTGGTAAACAGTTGAGTGACCTGGCAAAAAACCAGATTGATTTTGACATAGTCATGAGTTAATATAAAAAAAATAGTTATACATATGTTTAAATATAATACGTTCCATCACTTTTCCAACACAGCTTATCAAAGAAATCGGTCTATAGTTTGATAGTTCATCCTTCTTACCTTTTTAGCTCACCAGAGCAGAAGGCTCAGGGTGAGCTATTAGTATCAAAGGTGGATACTCTGGCGTCCGTCGTCATGCGTCAACAGTCGTCTTCTTCTCTGAAACCGCTTGGCAGATTTACTTCAAATTTGGTCTGTAGCATCCTTGTGACAGTCACACTTGAATTTGCTCATGTCATTTCAATTGGCTCCCTTTATGAGTCAACAGAGCTAAAAATAGAAAAACTTTTAAACATCATCTACTACAGAACTAATTGATGGATAATCACCAAACTTTGTCTGTAGCATTCTTGGGTAGTCTTATATCAAGTTTGCTCATATTAATTTGATTGACCCCTTTTAGGGGTCCCCAGGGCTAAAAATAGAAAAACCTTTAGACATCTTCTTCTACAAAACTAAAATTTGTCTGTAGCATTCTTGGGTAGTCTTTTATCAATTTTGATCATATTGATTTGATTGGTCCCTTTTAGGGGCCGCTAAAGCTAAAAATAGAAATACTTTTAAACGTCTATTTCTACAGAACTAATTGATGGATGATCACCAAACTTTGTCTGTAGCATTATTAGACACGCTTTTATCAAGTTTGCTCATATTGATTTGATTGGCCCCTTTTAGGGGCCACTAAAGCCAAAAATAAAAAAAACCTTTGAACATTTCCTACTGAAATAATTGATAGATGATCACCAAACTTTGTAGCATTCTTGGGTAGTCTTTTATCAAGTTTGATTTGAATGGCGCTGTTTAAGCTGAAGCTTAAATGTCCCAGGTCATGGCATTTCTTCAAATTATTGTTTAAACATGTTCTATGCTCAAATTAAAGAAAATATTGACAATGGATAATTTTCAACTCTGAAAAGCAGTTGTTTCTGGTGAGCGACTCAGGGCCATCATGGCCCTCTTGTTTGAAAAGTGGCATTACATGAGCTAGTTTCCATTTATTTGGATATATTCCCTCATTTAATGAGAGATTAAATAGTAAACAAAGTGGAACACACAAAAATTCTGATGTTTCCCTTAACATTTTTTGCCTAATTTCATCTGGACCGGATGCTTTATTGGTGACAAGGTTCAATAAGGTATCCTTAATCTCGTGTTCATTAATTATAGCAGGCTGGCTAAACATACAGCACAACATTTAGCTCAACATCCGGTTTTTTTTCTACCGTTTTGAATGTCGAGCTTGAATGTGATGCTGGCTAGACATTCGCTCGACTTTTGTTTTTGTTGTTTTCTTTTAATGTCGTGCTGGTATGTGAAGGTGCCTAGACATTCAGCACAACATTCAGCTCCACATTCGTTTTGCATATTTTAATCAAATGTCGAACTGGGTAAAGCTGGCTACACATTCAGCACAAGACCCAGCTCGGCATTTGCTTTTGTTTTTTTGTTGTTGTCATTTTTGAATGTCGAGCCTTGCAAACAGTAAAATTGATAAGAGGCCCCTGCTTTTGATTTTGCAGCG